TAGGGGTTTAAGGTTTAGGGGTTTGGTGTAGAGATTTGAAGGTTCAGAGGTTTACGTTTCACGATTTGGGCCACCACCGTGGCTGCGACAAGCTATGATGGTTAAAGGGTGTAGCAGGTAGCTGTCTGCGCGTATGCTTAAACCCTCATCTGCACCTTCTTGGTGAGGCTCCCTAAACGCAATTATCGTAGGTTTTCAAGTTAATGCGTAGTTGTTGTGTCTATGTGCTATGAGTCCGTACGTGTGCCTGCATACATAAATATACGAACTGAGCACATGCACACACCTACGCACATACTTTATGTGCCAAGCTGCACCTGCTCTGGCGTCTTGTGAAGCGTGACATCGTAGATGACCATGGCAGAGAAAGCTGTATTTCCCACAACGGCCAGTGCCTGACGTACCAATGCCGGGAAACAGTTTAACCTTTCAGAATAGCACCAACTTGGAGCATCCAGAAAAGTAAGAGTAAAAGCTTGGTGTTGGAGAACCAAGGTGCAAAATGCCTTGTGGTCACCCCCAGAATCAGTCGCGACAGCGACAACTTCAAGGAATTATTTTCGGTGTATCCACAAGGGTCGATCGCCAACACCCACAACACAATGCCATTGAAAAAGACGTGCCTGGGAAGGCGCTATGAAAGACAGAGGAAGCGGGTGTATAAAACAAAAGCCATAAACATCGCTTATATGTAAAGGTACAGGTGGGTGGGGTAAGACATGAGGCTACACAGAAAGCCTACTAAAATATCCACGTGGCCGTGCATCTAGCAGTCTCGGCGACGCCAGCCATCTGCACTGAACAAACATCCTGGGTTCTTGTTAAGGGATTTAATTTAAGTTACCATAATAGGGATCTATAGTAAATAATATGGTTTCCTTATTATGGTAACTTAAATTAAATGCCTTAACAAGAACCCAGCATCAGGCTGGCCGGTATCGAAACTGGTAGGCAAATGTCCCAGTTTCTCCATTTGATGGCCTCCGTCCCGCCCAGCAACCATTGCCACTGGATGGCGAAGCACCGGTACAGCGACATCACGAGAAACAGCACCACCATGCTCCTGGACCAGCAGTAACCGTGCGGGGTGTCTGAAGGGAGTTAGTTAGTGAGGTTGGCGGGTAGATGATTTGTGTTTATCTGCACATATATCGGCGTGTGTGTGTGTGCGCGCGTGTCTGCTGGTTTACGTTTGTAGCTAGTTGTCTATAGGTGTATGTGTACAAAATACACATAAACAACTCAACACTCAAATAAATCAACCTGACTATCTTAAAGTAACTCTGGTATAGCTTTAGACCGACAGATAGACGGACGGATAGATAGATAGATAGACGGATAGGTAGATACATAGATAGATGGATAGACAGACGGACAGACAGACAGACAGACAGACAGACAGACAGACAGACAGACACACAGATAGACAGGTGGATAGGTGGATAGGTGGATAGGTAGATCGGTAGATAGGTAGATACGCCGGCAGATAGGTAGATAGATAGATAGATAGATAGATAGATAGATAGAAAGGTAGATAAATAGATAGATGGATGGACAGATATACATATGCACGCATGTATGTGCAAATATGCATTGTACATTGAAAGGCATGTACAAACATCTATAATATACGTATATATATATATATATATATATGTACCAAGTATAGGCAGAAAGAACACCAAGAAAGAACGAACTGGCTAAGAGGGAGTAAGCTATTGTTCTTGAAGGTCCTCAATTAGGCACACATGTGCTGTGGAGTTGCCGCGGGCCATATGCGGAAGAGCTGCAGGAAAAGAAAACCCCTGAACCCCAGAGCCTCAACCCGATTTTGCCGTCATTCACAAATAACAATGACCATAAGAATGCTACGAAAATAACAACATCAACAACAGCAAAAATACCGACCAGGCTGCAAGGAGAAGTTGTTCAAAGTCCTTGGCATGCCGCAGGGAACATGTGCTGACTGGCACCCTACCTGGACATCTGCATGCGTTCGTATTGAAAAACTACAAGCCCAAGCCTAAACCCTAAATCCTGACTCCAAAGGATGATAATGCTTGAACCTGAGGTCCCAAAGCCCAAAAACAACCCAACACCCTAAAGATACACCTAAACACTCCGATCGAATCTACGGTTTGACCGAGTTCGTTCCAGGAGCAACACCCTCAACCTGGACTTAAAGCGGCTCCCATAAGCTCGGTCCCTCCTTCCCCCGGCAGACGTGCTGCTACCATAAACCCTAAACATCACTAAACCATGTTGTGAGGACTTTGGTGCTCAGCCTTTCAACTCGGATTTCGTAGTCAAGCAAAACACCCGAAGTATGTGCAAAAGATCCTTCAGTTTAAGAGGCGGCAGACTCTAATACCTACTTTGCGTTGAGGAGTTTCTGAACAGCTATGCCGGTATCCCGTGGAGCTTTTCTTCGCCGGGTGCTGCTGACGAAGGTTCAGAGTAGGCTGCCCTGTTTCTGTCCCATACAGGAAGGGCTCATGCGCCCAACTAGCATATAGATTGACACCAACGTACCTACATAGGGTCTATAGACTTTGAAGGCCAAAGTATATACTGTGTGCGTACATGGACCCTTCTACCCTAAACCCTGATGGTCCTATAGTACCCTTGTAGAACCCTTAAAGGAGTCTTGAATAGCTCCCACTACAGGATGAGCAGTTGGACCCTTAGGGATATGGAAAGATCTGCAAGACCATGTCTGACCAGTGCATGAGAGGGTGAGTCCTTCGATTTCATGGGGTACCCAGCGAGCCGCATGCTCGCATGCCTTAATTGAGGGGTATCCGGCTCTCTGGGCACGTGGACCCTCAACAGCTTGAAAGGTTTTAAGCCAGCCGTAGGATTCCTTCAAGGGTTCTTCAAAGGGTCAGTTAGGGTTTAGGCTTAGAGTTTTAGGGTTTAGCATGGTTTAGCGTTCTTTTAGGGGTTCTTTAAGTTTCTTGAAAGGGTCAATTAGGGTTTAGGCTTAGAGTTAAATGGGTTTACGGGTTCCTTTGAGGGTTCTTTAAAGAGTTAAGGTTTAGGCTTCGGGCTAGGGCATTCGGGTTTGGCGGTTCCTTTAGGGGTATCAGCCATGGTGCACGTAAAAGCGGTCGGCCACAGCTTGCCTGTGCGTTGGGGTTTAGGACTTAGGGATTTAGGGTTT